GACACCTGTCATATATGAACTCAGTTAAATGACCTTGCTCTCCATGAGTTCTCATAGCTCAGTGGATAGAGCGCCCGCCCGGTGTTCGGGGGGTCATGGGTTCGATTCCTGTCAGGGACTCAGAATTTTTCTTTGTCCCACGCTCGTGTCATGTTGATTAATTCACCTTCACATGAAAGAGTGTGTTTGACCACATTTCCAAATACTGAGGAGAGAGTTGAAAAAAAGATGCACAGCAGAGTATTTTTGACAAACCTCAAGGTGTTTTGAAATGTAGTAAAACATTGTCTTGAGTGTTTGAAATATCTTCTCAACTGAAACTGAAACTAAGGAGAAAATGGAGAAATAAAATCGAAAAAATCTATGTTGATCAGATCATATCCAAACATCATCACTGTCCTGATTTCTTTTATTTAAACTTGATGAGTTATTTTTAATAATTCATTAAAATAAGTTTGAGAAGTATGGTGATTTTGCTGTTAACCAGCTTCTTTTGACAACCCTGAGCATTTAATTTATTATAACTAAGTTGTTTTTGTTTTAACAACAGGTCGCACCAGTAGTGACCCGTTTTCTTCGGACATGTACTCATATTCATTATCAAGTCAAACTGGTTGGAGGAAGATTTTATACCACAGTGGGAATGAACTGCATTTGCGTATGTTGGGACATACAGCAGTTTATTATGCTGATCTGCATTCTCTTGTTGTCTTTGGTGGATATGTTCCTTACAGCGCAAGGTATCGTAACTTCCTCTCAGACTATTGTGTTCCAGAAAACATCCATTCCCACTTCCTACTCAGGAAGGTTTTTTTTTTCTTGCCCACCTCCCTCCCTTCCCAAATTCCCTCTGGAAATATCCAGTTTGGGTTCATACTTGCCTTAAAAAATATTAGATTTTGAGAGCCCCCATGGAATTTTTTTCAATAACCTCCCCCAATTTGGGCAAGTATCCATGGATATTTTCTGGAACTGCACATTGATGAAGACGATGACTGTTAAGAGGGCTTTAAATTAAGTTTTTAGAGCCCTAGGAAATCACTAGCTAGACATATTTGCCAGTAAGATTTCTTTCCACTTGCAAAACAAATAAATGCATTAGTTGGTAAGTTTATGTTACTTAGTGTTTCCGTATAAGACCCTGTAAACTAACCGTGGAATAGGTGACAACAAATTTAGTCAGTGGTAAATTTTCTAGCTAAATAATTTCCACTAACAATGATTCATTTCTCTTTCTGTTAGGAGAAGTGATCACTCTAACAGACTTCTTGCATTTCATCTTGATCATCAAGTGTGGACCGAACTCTCTGTCGCAGGAGATATTCCCAGAGGTCGTTCATTTCACTCTGCAGTTTTGGTTGGCGACTACTTAGTTATTTATGGTTAGTTAATTTTTTTGGTACTAGAATAGTTTAGATACGTAATGAAAAGTATTTATGTATAATTTATTAAAGACGGGAATGATCACTGCAGTTACGTACACAACTTAATTGAGAATTTGTGAAATTTAAGCCTGAAAAAAAAATCAGGCTTGAACAGGATGTTTTTAACCACAGGCAATTTAAAGAGGATTGAATGCAAGGGGCTGGCCCTAGCAAAATGTTTAATTTTTTGGGGCTGCTTCATGGCCGCTTTTGTACTCTGCACTCAATCTGCGTGCTCAAAGAAAAAGAACCTATAGCAAAGAACAGACTATGTGTATTTTTACCGGTAACTGAAGATGCGTGTGCTTTTTTTTATTGAATATCAGGTGGAAATGTCCATATACATAGAAAAGAAGAAATATGTCATGACAACAAGCTTTTGTTCTACCATCTGAAATGCCACAAGTGGATTTCACCATCAACATTTGATGCTCTGTCTCCTTCCCCCGGCAATCTACAGCAAGGAAGGTTCTCTCACAGAGCTGTACTGCGGAATGGATCAGTCATGCTTGTTGTGGGAGGATTTAGTGGGTTGCCATTGGGTGATGTCTTAGGTTTTAAATTGCCTATCGCCATTGCAGAAAAGAGTTCTTCAGGGGGGCACTGTGAAGGTTACAGTACTGAGAAGAGCTGCATAGAAGACCCAGAATGTGGGTGGTGTAGTAAATCATCCAAGTGTCTCAGCTTAGATCAATCAGCAAGTTGCAGTGCAACTCTCTCGACAAGTTCCTGTCCTGGACCATGTGCTGTGCATGTGCAATGCAGTGCTTGTTTATTAGTTGGCGGTGCAAAATGCGGGTGGTGTGTCGAGGACAGCAGATGTTACCCGAGAGATTCACGGACAGGTGCCTGTCAAACTGTCACTAACAGTAATGTGGAGACAATCCGAGGCTGGTGGGGTGATACAGGACATTTTCTTACATCACCAAATGAGTGTCAAACCAGGGATTATCCACCAGGAATCACTGTTATTGAGAATGTTGAATATCCAAACAGTTCTTTTCCTGATGGTGTCAGGATTGTCTTACAATCAGAAGTTGAAATTTTCCGTGAGGGGGTATTAGACAAAGTGCGCGTGACTCAGCTGAAGGGATTTGTATATCCCTTTAGGTACCAGCCAGTGCCGTGGAAGTCTTACAAATTGTATCTTGAGCTTAACAATGCCGGAAACAGTAACGTTTCATTGTGGCTCAGCACTGATGATACAGAGGCAAATAGTGTAAGTACAGCATCCTTCCAAACTAGTGTTTCATGTCTGAGTGAGCAAAAGTTTCCTCCCATTCCTCCTGGAGGACACTCCCCTGTGATATGATAGAGTTGCTTGTAGGAAAGTTTTAACCCCCTGTAAAAGGGGCCAGAATCTTGTTTTGTGGGTGTAGCTTAAGTTCATCTCCACCCCTCAAGAGGGTCCTTTAAAGCTACATCATCAGTTTAGAATGATTTTAGTCAAATCTCAAATGTGCCAATTGCAGAGGAAGAAAACTTTGTTTTTGAGCTTTGTTTTAACATGTCTTTTTTGTTTACCCCTACCCCCAGCAACAAAAACATTTTTGTGTAAGAAAACAAGAACCTGTTTACACCTTACATGTAAACACCAATTACAGTCGAACCCCTGTGGCCATCTATTAAAAGGCCACCCCTATATTGATTAGGTGGCCAGTAATCAAAGTCCCGATGAGGCCTTTTCTATTGTTTTTACCTCTATTAAGCAGTCAGCCCCCTTTTAAGTGGCCACTATCCATTTACCTGGGAGTGGCCATTTAATAGGGGTTCAACTGTATATTAGTATCACCCAACTAGTGGACTAATGCAAATCCTGCATTTTAATTGGCAATGCTACTTGAGGACCTGTTACTAGTAGTCCTCAAGTAGGGCAATTGGCGCAATCGAGTGTAACGCTTTCTTCATTTTATTCCCAAATAAATATTTCTTCAACTTGCATTTGCTAACTTTATTATTGCCTTTTCTGTCCGACTAGTTGGGTGATACTAAAACAATTAGACCCTACGCCCTTAAGGACCATGGGTCAGTAGCCCATTCGGCTTTGCCTCATGGGCTATAGACCCGTAGTCCTAGCGGGCTACAGGTCTAATTGTTAATGAGAACCTTTTGAGGCTACTTGGAAAAATGCAGGTTTTTATGTGCAGTTTTTAGTGCAGAATGCACTATTGGGATGGTTTTGGGGGCTGCCTGCCGCTAAAGCAATAAGACGCGAAAGTGTAAACTTTAATGTTTGTTTAATTAATTAATTTCAATTAATCAATTAGTCTAGAGACAAGGAAATGGTGGGGGTGAGCTGGGAAAGATACACGTGTACCCTACGTAAAACGTGTCCTATCTGCGTCAGTTAGGAGTAAACCTCGCAAAGCTATATATTTGTTTCAAGTAACCCCTTGCTCTCCCTGTGGTACTATTCTCTTAAGAACAAAACCAATTTGCTCTAAATGCGTGTGCAGATTAGTTAGCGTTCATGTCTTCTATACATTAGGTGGAGGTTACATTGCATATGGTATGACACAAATGTTGAGTAGTTTTCCTTATGGTAGAACCCAACGTGTAAGAGGCATGCGTTCTAGCATCGCAAGTGTTATATACCATGTTTCCACAAGGTTTTTTATGTCATGCAATGTCAGGTACTAGGTAGTGCCACTTTTCCCTTTTTAGTGCAAGAGTTAAGCGTATCTTTTAGAATTACCCACAGGTCAGTTCAACAAATATCATCTGCTGTTTTCAAACTACAATAGTATGTTTGTCAGGGTTTAAATAAAGAAGGGAAATGTGAAGTTTCTCATTAGCGGCCTATTTATTTCTTGCCTTAACTGCGTCTGCAAGAGAGACCAAAATGTTCCTGAGTTAGTGGCTTTAACATTCTGCAAATTGTAAATTTGTGACAAAAGAAACCAGGAAAGTGCTCAAATATTGCTGCAGACTCTGTGGCACCTAATGAAAGTGCAAATTAATTTAATCAGTCTTTGAGAAGACTTGTTCATCGATGCAGGATAATATCGGTCAAGTAGCACTGTTTACCCTCAATACTTCTCATTGAAATGCTTCCCAGTGGTATCAGTCGATATTGTTGTGTATTAATTTTGAATTGTTTTATTGTTGACAACAAAGGTGGCAACAAAAAAAAGAAAGTGGTATTCCATGACTATCTGATAATTAAATTAGTTCTTGTTCATCTGTGATAAGAAAATTTGCAAAAAAACAAAATTGTTTCTCTTCCATTTCTTTGTCAGATATTTAACTTTCTTTCATTTATCCCCCAAAACAAGCTCATCTTCCGTGTGTTTTGGAGAAAACGAATTTCATGTTACATACCTTTGCGAGGAAAACAAAAGTATCAAGTTACAAAGTCGGCATGAAGAGCTAAATTGTCATGTTTGTTCAACGTATTATTGAATTTAAAATGAACAAGAATCATCATAAAACACCAGAGTAAAATTTAAAGGCTGTCGTGTCAAACAGTAATTGTACGTAATTTTCGGACCTTGAATGAAAATACAACCGTGAAACGTACTCACTACTAAGGGGAAAAGCCCTAGCAGACTACCAAGGTAGATACAAACCAGAAGTCAACCAAGCAGGGGTGAGTACTTATGGGACTACTGTGCCAGAGCTATCAATTGCAGTCTACACTATCTGAGATTGTCTCACTAGTTTTACTGTATTCATCTATGCCATAGTATTTGTTGTTAAAAACACTATGTTTCTTTTCCCATCAGGAGTTGGTGGCTCACTGTAATTCTCAGTCATGCTTGGAAAGAGCCATGCGTAGCAATAATCAGCCCCTCTTCCCATCTCCGTCAGAAAGCAAGAGATATTATATCAGAGTAGACATCGACAAGCAGATTGGATTTGGGGACTCCACAAATTCTGACTTAAGTATCGAATGGAATCGAAATGCTACACCTTACGATTCAGTGGTAAGCTCAATCTCCATAATTTTACCTATTATTCTATGCATTGACTGCCCGAAAACCTACCCACATGTGTTATACTTCTCATCAAAAATACCTGTAAGTTGTTATTCCTCAATTTTCTAGCTACAGTACCCCCACTCAGTAATGTTCCCCATCCCCTCAACAACGTGAGATTTTGGCCTGTTTAGGTCATGACCAGAACAGTTTTACTGAGTTTTACAAAGTTTTTCTCACCAAAAAGCTTACAACTACAGTGTATAAAATTTCCATAACCACAATTTGACTTCTTCTGTGATCTAGTACTGAACAGATGCATGGTAACATGGAATCTATTTGTTTTATATCAGATGTTTTATTATTTAATGAGATTGTCTACTGTAAATTGCGGCTGACATGTATAACCCCCCCACCGCTGCTTATAAGCATCCTGCCCTGGTTATAGGCCCACCTACTTATAATAAGCCNCCCCACCCACCCCACCCCTCTAGCTCAACTTGTTTTGAATTCATGTTAACATTAACAATGATGTTTTAAAAATTGATTAAAAACCAGTAAATAAAAAACCTTTTTCAATCAACACAGCTATTAGTACCTCTTTTCAAAATGTTTTTTTATTCTGGTTATAAACCCCCTTGGATATAAGCCCCTCCAGTTATAACCACGTTTAAAATCCCTTATGAAGTTGTATAAACCTAGGGCTTATAAGTGGCAGTTTACAGTATACACATTTTGAGGGGTCAGGAGAGCAGACAGCTTTGAAGGTATAAAATTTTATTGTGACCTTTTTTCTTGTTTGGTAGCCTTTGACTGCACAGTTCCTCCAACCTTTTGCTAGTTCAGATTGTTCTGTGTACACGACGTGCCTCGCTTGCATGACTGATGCATCTTGTGGTTGGTGCATGACGTCATGTATGTCACGAAATACTCCAACTGGGTCATGTCAGGACAGTGACGGAAATACAAGATATTTGACTTTGAATGCAACTGCGTGCACATTATGTTCAGACCATGTGGACTGTCACTCTTGTGTTCAGGTGGATATTAGATATTTGGAGGGGGGCATTGCTTAGGGAAATTAAGAGTGTCGTATTAGAGTATCGTATAACCAAAACCAATGAAAGTAATCATTCTGGGCAATCACAAGGGATACAGACAATCAGGTCAATACAGTGATCAGTCAAAACATGTACATGTATGCAGCATACACCAAACTCGGGAAATGTGCGACAACTTTTTTTAAGCCACTTGCTTAGCATAGTAATTTAAGATGAAAGCAACTGCAAACCACTGTTATCTCACTAGTGTAAATTATGTTTTTTCTGTGGTGTGGTTTGATGCATGATTATTTTAAGGGAGGCACAACTGGTAGTATAATGGTTAGCACACAGGACAATAGACTGTTGGTTCAAGCCACAGCCAGGGTCATTGTGTCATGTTCTTGGATAGGACTCATTACTTTCGTGGTGCCTCTCTCTCCACCCAGGTGTATAAGTGGGTGGTAGCAAACTGAAAGAGGTTACCCTAGAGGTTACCCTGTGATGGACTAGCACTGGGAGGGAGTAAAAAAATGCTGGTCACTTCATGCTTCTGAATGCACAGCTAAGCACCAGCCTGATGAAAAACTAGGCTTTAATACAGACCAGCCTTTTGTTACTGAAATGAACTTAAGTTTACCAGCTGCTGTTCTGGCATATAGCCCACTTGCCTGTCCTCTGGCTGAGGTCTTAAGACCAGACTGACGAAAGTGACAAATTGTGCCTCCATAGCAATTTTCCAGAGCTATTTAGAGACACATTTGAAGACAGACAGACAGGGGAATGTACATGGATTACCCAATTCACAAAGCTGAAATTAAGAGAAATGTGTAGACTACAAGTAGTCCCTCTTGTGCTCAGTCCGTTAAGAAAGACCGTCACCTTTCACGTGCTTCTCACCTCAAGGATTTCACACGGCCAGTTTTTCGCATGGTTTTCTTTCACATCATGCACGGCGGACTAAGTGAAAGAGGGACTACTCAAAATGAGTGGACTACTTGAAATATGTGGCGATCCCGAAGGAGGATTGATCTTTTGATCTTGGGATTGATTTTCAGGGTTGAAATTTGAGGCTTTTATTTGTTTTCAGAGTGGTGACTGTGACTGGGGCATAGCCAGTCCTATTCTTGGCTGTTATCGTAAAGGACGGCCATTAGACAGTGTAATTCAGAATTGCGGTAGCCCTTGTTCAAGGTATTAATCTTGTGATGTATCATTCATTGAAGTTAAATAGCTGAGTGTTGTGAAAATTTTACACAATTCTGTTTCATACAGACTGGTTTGTCTAAGTGCAGAATGCTCTTGCTAACACCATGGTGAGTTTGGCTGTTAAATGATAAGGAGGAACATGCTAACCCTCCATCATGTAAAATCTCTCGTGGAGGGGTGCTGGGGGGTGGTGTTCGCATTGCACAGAACAGGGACTAGAATTTGTCTTCTGTCTCATCAACATGAATGAATTTGGTCAAAATTAATGTACATTGCATGTTTGTGTGAAACAGATTATCTCCTGTGGCAACCTCACCTGGTTGGCCTGTAACAACTTTAACCTGTACTGGGACGTGTCTGATTTTTTTCACTCAATGGCAGCTTTTTATGTTACTAGAAAATGTTTTACCTACAAACTTTTGGGTATGGGAGATTATAGGATTAATGTTACTTTATTAGTAACATTTTTTTAAGTAGCTTAAAATTGCAGCCAAACTTAAAGTTATAGTTTTCTTCTTATAAATGATTGAAGAAATTGTAACCATTTAATATGTTTTGTCTTGAAACAGCCGCAAAACCTGTAATAGTTGTTTAAGTGACAAAGTTGGATGTGCTTGGTGTGACAAAACACAGAGCTGTTTTGTATTTGGAACATACAGGTCACGGTATCCTTTTGGGCAGTGNGGGGGGGGGGTGGTGTTCGCATTACACAGAACAGGGAATAGAATTTGTCTTCTGTCTCGTCAACATGAACGAATTTGGTCAAAATTAATGTACATTGCATGTTTGTGTGAAACAAATTATCTCCTGTGGCAACCTCACTTGGTTGGCCTGTAACAACTTTAACCTGTACTGGGACATGTCTGATTTTTTGCACTCAATGGCAGCTTTTTGTGTTAGTAGAAAATGTTTTACCTACAACTTTTGGGTATGGGAGATTATAGGATTAATGTTTCTTTATTAGTAACATTTAATTTTTTTTTTTAAGTAGCTTAAAATTGCAGCCAAACTTAAAGTTATAGTTTTCTTCTTATAAATGGTTGAAGAAATTGTAACCATTTTATATGTTTTGTCTTAAAACAGCCGCAAAACCTGTAATAGTTGTTTAAGTGACAAAGTTGGATGTGCTTGGTGTGACAAAACACAGAGCTGTTTTGTATTTGGAACATACAGGTCACGGTATCCTTTTGGGCAGTGTTCTCACTGGATTGACAGGTGGGTCGAATGTAAAGTGTCATTCTTTCTTAAAGCATCTAACATCCAAATTCTGTCTTTTTATGGTTACTCTTTTTCTAATACATGCCCTTACTCCAATTAAGTGGGGCATGTCAGTCTACTTGAGCTAGGTGTAGCTAAATTAGTGCTTGACCACTATAAACAACAACATTTGAACCAAAAAATAACGTCATTCAAACAAGGGCCTCTATTCGAGTAAAACACCTCAATTCTAACAGGTGGCTCCATTATAATAAGCACCCTTTAAAATGTCCCCTCAACTAACTTTACTTTAGCAACAGGTCTACTATGTATATGTAAGCATCCTGGCTGAGTTATTCCATGGTAAAACCAGGTTTAACTCCTCTGCCACACTTGTAAATAGCCAACTTGTCTGCCTTCTGCCAACTGGCATTTTTAACCATGCTACTGTGTGTATGAAAATTAAAAGTTGTCTTCTCTTTTTTTGGGATTCTTTCCAGGTTAAAATTGATTTTAAATTGATGCTTTGGCGGCTAGTTTAACTGGCCTTCTTCAGGAATTAACAAAATAAATGTCAATATGGAAAACTGATGTTTTTGGTTTGCAACTGCACCTTGAGACATGTTGTAGTTGTGATGCAAAAACATCAATGCACCACAATTAAATTTGCCGCACTGTTAATTTAAAATAAATTTTAACCTCAGAAGAATACCCTCAAAAAAGAAATCAACTTTTTACTCTTATAGATGAGAAGTGAAAGTCTCAGAGATACAATTTTGCCGTGTTTAATTCAAATTATTTGTTTCTCAAAATCTCTTGGCCCAGCTAGCCTTTGTGCTATACACACTGACCAGGGTAAATGAAGGCTATTTATTGATACAGCTGAACGTCTATTAAGCGGCCACCCTTATTAACTGGCCAGTTATGAAAGAATGAAGTTATTGTCATTAAAATACTGCAAAGAAAACCCCTATTAACCCGCCTCCTCTATTAAGTGGCTGCTGGCATTTATGTTTAATTGCGTTTTTCAAATGCACAATTTCTATTTTAGTACCAAGGAGGGACAATGCCTGAATTGTAGCAAGCATACAAATTGTAAAAGTTGTTTGGCAGACGTCAGATGTGGCTGGTGTGGAAATGATTATGACCCACGTATTGGAAGGTATTTAGAAATCAATCTGCTATTGTATTCTTCATTTTCTTGTTATTTTTCTCAAAGCAGTTAAATTTCAAATCTCACCCTGAGTAATGGAGATCACTTAACCTTAATTAATGACTGGATCATTGGATAATGCAATTCAAGAGTTTTCATTGGCTTAGCTATCATGGTATATAATCCATTAAACCATGCTCTACAAGTATGGTAAGGATACGCCTAGTTTTTAGGGGTGTTTTATATTTATTTTATTTTAGTTTTCTATATTTTGTGGGCATTTTAATAAACAATTATTCCACTTGCGTATGTTGGATATGAGACGATTATAGACAACGCGTTTTGTAGCGTCTCATTGGCTATCATCTCATTTCCAACATGCACTTGTGGAATAATTGTAAAATAACCTTCACTGAGTGGAACATATTTACACAAATCCAGATCTTGTAATTCTGTTGAAGTCTGTGCTAGTTTTGGAACACTCCTGCCATTTTGACCATAGCCTTATTTTGTTGCCGTAATCTTTATTGCAACTACCAAATTGGTCTAAAAACAGAGAAACACCCGAAAACAGCGTGGACTACAATTGTGTTATGCCATCTTGAATTGTGTCTAAACATTCAGTAATTCTTAGCTATTGGTTTGAGGTTGTGAGCAAATCATGATTACAGTTATTCGGCTTAACATTTTAAATTAGAATCAAATACTCACTTTGACTGTAAGACTCATTGTTAGCAAGAAACATTAAAGTTTTCTTCTTTTTTTCTAAGAGAACTGGAAAAAGTGTTTCTCATGTTGCCCTGTTTTGTAGTAATCATGCTGGACTTTGAGATTTTGATGTCAGTCTGTACTTTGAGCCCTGATATCTGCGCTTGTGTTTTTGCTGGGAGAATGTTCCAAGAATCTTAAATGGAAACTGGGTAGAATTACAATCATTTTTGTGCCACTAGGCCTGTGACTGCTTCAGTTTCTGTTTTGTGCCAGTAACTAGGTCATGTCCAAGCAAATTCTCCCTACAAGTACTATAAGACATGAATAGAAACAAGCTAAGGAGAATAGACCTTTTTACCGATATGGTGGACATTTTGAATAGCTATTATGGGATGCCCAGGGGGTAAACACATACTAATTTACCCCCTGAACATCCCATAATAACTATTTGAAACAATGGATTTTAAAACGGCCGCCGTATTGGTAACAAGGTCCATTTACGTATGCGTATGGTTGCCATGATTTTTTACTTACAATGCATCTTCTGTTAATTTCTGTCAGATGTTATGCAGGGGATTTCAACTCACCTTACAGTGGACAGTGTGCAGATATATTTCCAACAAATGGAAGGTAAGCTCAGACTGCTACCAGTTTTCCTTGTCACTAAACATCACTAACTTAGTTTTCACAGTGTGCAGTAGATTGAGAAAGAAATTATTAAATAATTGTGTAACTCACTCACATTATAATACTTCAGTTTTGGAGACAGAGGAACAGGAGCTAAAACTGGCTTTTAAGTGCTAGTATTTTCAAATTTCTACCCCTTGCAATTTTATGGGTACCGTAGTGAATTCCACTTAAGATTAAATATGGCGTTTTCCGTTATGAAATATCTGTATTAGTTCCGGCCAGCAGGAGGGTAACTGGTTTTCACATGTGGGCAAAACTTTTGGAACCAAACTTCTTCATAAGAACGACTTTCCTCCAGATGGTCAAACCAGGAGGGCAAAATCATCCCCACAGCCAGTCAATTTACCCGGTACCCAGCACTTAATGAAACCCTTGCACACCTGAAAACATACCAATTGAAGATGTAAATCTTAAAATCTACTGTTATTTTTTTTTTCCAGCACTGTTTGGTCGTATCCAGAGTGTCCAGATGTGGACGAGTGTAAGTTAGGCATTGCTCAGTGCCACCATAATGCAACTTGTGTCAACATGCCCAACTCGTTTAACTGCATCTGCAACAGAGGGTTCACTGGTGATGGTACAGTAGCTTGTAACAAAACGTAAGTGATACTTCACAGGAAGTGTGGTATATGTTTGGTGGGTACCGGTTTGTTCTGTAAACCTAGAGATATTCAATCGTTGTTCAGGTTAGGAAATTGACTTTGGGTCAAAATACCCAATTAACTTGCCCACTTGAATTGACAAGTGAACGTAATGCTTTTGACAGTTTGGTGAAGGCAGCATGGTCAAGTGGTTTAGGTCGCTGGATTTGAAATCTGGAGGTCCCTGGTTCAAATCCTCCTCCCTTCCTCTCTCTGGATTTGTTCTCGGTGGCCCAGAGTTCAACTCCCGCACCGCGAATGAATGACAAAGCACATGCAAGGGATTTGATTTGGCCATGTATAAAATTAATTTTAAACTAGAGGAAACCTGAAAATAGCAGTGTACTACATTAGAAAAACACCAAAGAGATAATAATAAACCATATAGGAACAAGGATGGTTAAGGATGGAGAAGATTGACACGGATTACAAACAATGAACTTGAAGAATTTAGGCTTAACTTTTCAAGATACGAAACTGTGACGTAGTTCCTTTAACAGGAGAGGTTGCCATTGGTGTTGGAAACATACTTAAGTTTAACGAAAATAAATCTAATCAGTCTTTTTTTTTCTAATTCAGATGCTATCATGACTGTGGTGATCATGGTGTTTGTGGAGCTGACTTCGTTTGTGATTGTAATCTTGGTTGGTTGGGTGAAAACTGCAGTATTGATTGTGGCTGTAATGGACACAGTGACTGTTCAAAGGGCATTGGTATTTGTGACAAGTGTCAAGGTAAAAGGATATCGTAATAAGTTGAGTTGTAAGCCAGAAGAAATTTTTCTTAAAACCCGCCTTCGTGGCTTACAAACCTGGTTGAAATTGTCATCAAACTGACTGACCACACGATCAGCTGACCAACTGGCCCACAGACTGACCCACCGACTGACCGGCAGACTGACTGTTTGACTGACGGGGGGACTGATGGAGCACGTGACCGACCGACCGGCCGACTGACCGACTGACCGACGGATCGACCAACCAATTGACTCACCGACTGACTGACCAATTGGCCAACTGACTAATCAACTGACCAACCGCCCACCCGACCAACTAACATCCTCAGTTTCAAATCTTCCTATTGCTAACCTTTGCGAACGGATACCTTCTGTAGGTTAACACTAAATAAGTGGACACTTCGTCTTGGTCCCTGCCACGTACAGACGCTACATTCTTAACCTACGTAACATGACACCTCTTCTAAGCGGACAGTTTTTCTTGTACTATGGCTGTCTGCTTACGAGAGCTTCAACCGTGAATGGCCTTCAACAAACTCAAGATGTTTACTCCTCGTCTAAACGTTTACCCTCTGCAACCTCCCCGGGAGACATGCCTTTCTAGTACGTCAATGCATTTGCTCTTTATCATAGATTATACTCGAGGTATGCACTGTGAATTTTGCATTCCTGGAACGTTTGGTAATGCAACCACTGCTGAAGGTTGTAAACCTTGTCAGTGCAATGGTCACGGTGATCCAGAGCAGGACTTTTGTGACATGGTGACAGGGAAGTGCTTCTGTGCTGACGACACCATGGGGGACAATTGTGAAAAATGTAAGCCAGGACTCAAAGGAGATCCCAAGTAAGTAGTTGAACTTGCATTTAGTTCTTTAAATCTATAATTTGCGTCGACCGCGGGCAAATGCAAATGCGAATAATTCACGGCAGTTAAGTTTGAACCACTCTAATCACATCAAAACTTTCCAAATGGTCAGTTGAAAATAATAACTACTTATTAACCGAGAGTGAGGTCTTTATGGGAAAATATCAAACCGAGATCTTGCCGTTTTGAGCGAGCGAAGTTAGTCTTGTCAGGACTAACTTTAACTCTGGAATCCTACTTGCAGAAATGGTGGCTTGTGTTTCCATGAGTGTGATACTCGAAGTATCCTTACTGACGTCACTCAAGGTTTCATTTCAACACAGCTGGGTGCAGGGGTCACGATCAAAGCAACAGCCAGTTGTCTGTGGCTGATTTCCTCATTAAGTAACAGCAGTCATGGTGTGGTTTATGGTCCTTCTCCACCGTTGGAGAGCAGAGGACAGATAACTCTCACTTTTAAGGAGCTGCGCATCAGCTGCTTGACGGATCACGTCGATGTGTATGACGGTTTGCCGCCATTCATACTGGGCGACTCGTCACCAGTCCGGTCGTTTTACAAGCTTGGCTCGTTCTGCGGCTGGGATGGAGCTGAACTGAAATCCGTAACAGCCACACTAGGGAACATGGTAGTTCTTATCACAGCTAACTTAAGTTCTGATGCACTGTCGAAGAGTTTCAGTGCAAAGTTCAGTGTGAAGAAATGCCCCGGCCTCTGCGATGGAAATCAGAGATGTGTCATGTCGTCCCGTGGGGAGGAATGTGTTTGCTTAGAGGGGTGGACTGGGGACAACTGTGACCAGCCGGTGTGTCCAAACAATTGCAGTTTATCACTGGGTCAGGGCCAGTGCAACCTTGTAAGTAGAATACTTGTAACAGGCATATGAGCATTATTAAGCTTCTGCCATATCTTGGTTCCGTAGCAGGCGTTAAAAAGGGGAGGGGGCGGCAAAGTGCGGCCCGTTAACGCCTGCAACGCAGGCTATCTGATTTGCGGACCTCTTCACACTCACACGATTCTTCTCCCACTCAATAGACGTCTTCTGTTTAACCTGAACATTGATCTTTGTAGCCTGTGTGGCAGGTGTAAACAGGGACAGACTACAAAACAAGCAGTACCATAAGCATTTCCTCCTTTCTCTACCCCCTTGAGGTAGCATCATAAACGTTTCTCCTCCTCTCCCTAAGTAATGCCATAAGCATTCCCTTCTATCTACCCCACCTCCCCAAAGCAACACCATAAACGTTTCTTTTCATCCCCTAAGTAGTAACATTACAATTCCCTTTTCTCCACCTACCCCCTCAAAACAGCACCATAAATGTCCCTCTCCGCTTCCTAAGCAGTACCATAAGCATTCTTTTCTCTTCACTTCCCCCAAAAAACAGCACCATAAGCTTCCGTCCCCTTCCCCGAAGCAGTTCCACAAGCATTCCCTTGTCACTCCAAGCACTACCATAAATGCTCCCCAATTCACCATGCAGTAACTGAGCATTCCCTAGCCTCCACCCCAAGTGAAACCACAACTATGTATGTATCCATTACCCATGCCAGTCGTATGAAAATTGAGCTATCTGGTGCAGTGTCCCAGCACTCATTCACTAAACTGTCATCAACAGACTCTAGGTGGTTGTATCTGCGCTGATGGTTTCACCGGTCCAGACTGTAGTCAGGTCATCACTCCCGGTACAGTCTTGTGGGAAGTCCTCAGTCATGGACCTAGCCGTAACATCAGCACTGATTACTTGGCACGGATGGGCCACACCATGGTACATGTTCCCGGAGTCTTACTGGCTTATGCAGGTTACTCACTCACCCATGGACTGTTGAATGATCTTCAGAGTTTTAATCTGAGCTCCAGTACTTGGTCACTTGTAGAAGTTAATCAGCTGGAAGGTAGAATTCCTTCTGCTCGATATCTCCACTCTGCCGTGTTTTATATCGTGAGTATTAACCATACATTACTTGCAAAAATTTTCGGACGATTTTAATTTCGAACAAGAAAAGCCGAAAAAGTCCGAAAATAGAACTGTCCGAAATTTTTAAGCGTCCGAAATATTTACTGTATAGCATAAAACTTTTATGTAGCTCCAACACTCCAACTCATGGAGCGAACTCTAGTTGAGACACTGCTTCAGATACTTAACGAATAAATCCCCTGGATGTTATCTTAGTCGGTTCATGCCACAGTGATGCGAAGTAAAGCACTTGAAACCTTATGAACCTTTTCGTTATTCTTGATTCTCAACGCGATAATTTATTTTGTGCGAATCTTTCAGGATTCTATGCTGATATACGGAGGGATGACAGAGAATGGCACTGATGACTCTTTGTGGTCTTTTAACGTAACATCACTTCGTTGGAGTAAGGTATGGACAAATGTTAAGTGTGTATTTAATGTTCAGTGGAGCCATGATTGAAACAAACTGCATTTCTGTGGAGCTTCGTCGTGGAATGAGACTTATATGGTCGAATCTCGGACGTGTTCAGAAAAAAGCTCCCCGGTATTACGGTTTTCAGCGTTATTGAACTATGTGCTGATCCTTTCACCTCGTTCTTGTACCTTCTTAACAAGGGAATATGTTATCTCAGGTTAGGTTGAAATAGCACGACCCTAGAAAATTGTACCACAAGCCAGAGGTTTGAATCTGGGACAAAGTGACTAGAGACTACCTTAAACGGCCGTTCCTGTTTTTATCGTGTATTACAGTACGGCTTGCCTTATGCTTGATTGCGTTTGATATTCAAACTTCATCTCAAGCCTCGTCTGCACAAATTTCTTCTCAATTCTCTGCTCTTTCAAGCTGCTTGTACATGGGTCCTTCCGAGCCCGAGTGGGCAATTGCTCACTCGAGATTACCCGCTATGTCCCGCAGGACAGTGGTGTTATTTATGATTTATAACTTATCTGTAAGTACGACTACGTCTCTCATAAACATGCAAAAAAACGGACTTGACAAAAATCCAGTTATCTTGACCTCGCGCTTGGTCAATAACCCATAGATCCGTCATGGTGGATTTAAAATTGTAGCTACTTGTGTTTGTTTTTCCGTTTTCTAGCTGATCAGTAAAGGCCCCAAGGTAGCAGGTCACACTGCAACTCTCGTGGGTAACGAGATGTATATTATTGGGGGATATGATCGGATATTGGGCTTCAGTGAAAGATCTTACAAGTATAATATTGACACTAAGGAGTGGACAAACTTGACCACCAGTGGACCTTCTCCCAAAGGTTTGTACCTTACAGAGATGTTGTTTTTAACAAACGGTTAATCCCACAGTTTTCTCTGCCACAGGAAAATTAAGTAAACAACTCTTAAATGTTTTCGACAAGTTGTAGTAGATCCTTTTATGCTATTCAGTTGTATTGCCTCTTGTAAATGATTTCATGAAACCTTGGTTTTAGCAACTGTTGTGATACTATCATTGGCCACAATCTTGAAGAAAACAGTGTGCGTTGTCTTCCAACATTTTTATAACGTTGCAAACACGGTTCGAACTGCCGTATTTGTTTGAAAGTTTTATCGTTGACTATGGACAGAAAACCTGTAAGCTGAAGATGCCTGTTAAGTTGTTATACTGGTCGCATTTGAGAGATTTATGTGGGTCAATATTTAAATACAAAAAAGGCCAAGATTAGCTTTACTGCTTGCATCTTGATTTTTACACACTTCGCTTTCCTCCCGCGCTTTGAAACATCTTATTGAAATTTTGAAGTTACTCGTAGTCTTAAGGATGACTTTCTAAGAGCTAGGTTTCTGTCTGAAGGAGGTACTCACTATGCTGACTTAAGAGATCAAGAGCTGGAAGAAAGCTTACTTATCACTTGTTTCTGTATCACAGGTATCTATGGCCATACAGCCGTGTATTACCCCGCTAAAAGGATTGTCTTGGTGTTTGGAGGATACAGATTTAGGGTTCACACCGTGAGCGCATCGAATGAATTGTACTCTCTAGACCTGGCTACCGGCAAGTGGAATATTTTACAGGCTTTGCCCTCCAATGAGGTGAGCCCCGCAAAATCCTGATCTAACCTACCTTCAGCTTTTAACAGCAAGGAGAAGAAGAATTACTTGTTGTGCTTGTCAATGTCTTTTTTTAGCACTATTAGCTACTATTTTTTCCTAAAAAATGCGCGATGAGCCAAAATCTTTGCATCAGGGCTTTGGTAAAAGACGTGGAAAGAAATAAATGATAATGTTAATAATAGCTCAACTGACCGCTTGAAGTAGCCTCCTACACAGAAGTTCTTTAAGGTCGTCACGCAATCTTTCCTCTCCCGCGAATGTTGTCGAGGAGTGCGTGACGAATCATAGCAACGTCTGGCACAGCCAGAGGGAAGGACCTTGGGGGTGGGGGGTAGGGGCTCATAGTCTACCCTTTTTTTAAACCCTTCTCTTGCCCTTTTCCTGCAGCCACAACCAAAATATTTCCACTCAGCAGCCATCTTGGACGATTTGATGGTCGTGTTTGGAGGAAGGAGTGATACAAATGATCAGCTTTTCTCAGATCAGTTCTTGGTGTATAACGTTAAATGCAACCACTGGCAAATTTTATCAGGTATGATTGTCTTGGCTTTCCACATAACCCTTTATTCTGCACACACGCGAGCAGCCAGGGTGCGGCGAAAATTACCCTTGCATAGAGGATATTGTCGCAAAAAGAACCATTGAGATCGTCATAGACTTGCTACAAGTCAACTTCTTTATAGCGCGTATGGTACATGTAAGCGAGGAACTTGCAGTAAGTCGATCGTTCCCCGTCTTGCTGGGGAAAACAGCAAAACGGACACAAAGAAAGTGTAAGATCCTCATTACTTTTATTGTTTACAGAAACCGAAGAGTGCAATAGGCACGTTAACCTGTGTCACGCAATCTTACCAGGGCTAACGTTTTGCCTTTTTTTCTGATCTGCAGATAACCGCTTACTGGGTAATAAACCGGGAGGACGTTTATCTACCGCAGCAGTGGAAATCTCCAGAAAAATTTACCTTTTTGGTGGATTTGACGGTCAAACACGAGCAACCGTGTTCAGATTGACCTTCCCCGCCGATCTATGTCGAAGTATTAACTCCAAGGAGGACTGTACGGCTGTCAGAACCTGCAGCTGGTGTGATGTGTACAATGTCACGCAAGGTGGAAATGAGACCTTAGCCACTAATAAGAGTGCTTGTTTCTCCGTGACTTCACCAGTGCCTGCCATCTGTCACGCGGAACCAAATGTCACGCAGGTAAAGCTAAGTAAACTTAACTATTGTTATGTGCCCCGCTGACGCACTGGAACAGTTTCATGATGGTAGCCCTTTCTTCGTAAATATTCATCTCGGAAATATAATGATAAATATTGGACTGACTCAATCGTTCAAGTAAACAAGCTCTCAGTCAGTTTGTCAGTCAATCACTCAGCCAGTCAGTCAGTCAGTCAGTAGGTCTGTCAGTCAGTCAGTCAGTCAATTAATCACTTGTTCATTATTTCGTTATCAATTCTAGGTTGTTTTCTACAATGGTAAAGACTGCTCTGAGCCATCTGATCGCGCATGCAGTACTTTCTCCTCGTGTAGCGCATGCCTGGCCTCCTTGCCTTATACAAGCCTCAAACCAAACTGTGTCTGGTGTGTTGGTTGCGAAGCGGGTGGCAAATGTATTAAATCATCCGAAAACTGCAATGTGGGACATCCGTGTGGTGAAACCAAACAATCCCTGCTTCTAACCTCAGACAAGTGTCCTGCCAACAACTGCGAAGCTACAACTTGCTCGGCTTGCCTTGGTCTCGATAGTAAATGTTTATGGACTCCACAGCTCAAGTGGAAAGCTGAAGCGTTGTGTTCCGTTTCCGACACCCCTTACAAGTACAAATGGAACTGTTGGGGAAATCTAGTGGACCAGGACAGCTTAAATTTCACAGTCATGATCAAGACTTCAGACACTTGTCCTCAGCTATGCGCAGCAAACAGGACTTGTTCCACTTGCCTCTCTTCACATGGTTAGTCTGATCTTGTGCCACACTTTTCTGGCACTTTTCGTCACGATTCGCTTCTACAGAGAAGTTCTCTAGACTTGTCAAACAATCTTTCCTCGGATACAAAAGCGGGCAGAACCGCCATTGCAAGCTCGTCCCTTGCCAACACCGAGAATTCGAATACGGTCTATTGAATAATTGTTTGATCAGATCTGATCTGTAGTGTTTGAGCTATAGCATCTACTTCTTTCCGGGCCTGAAAACATCAAACAATTTCGCGGACGTAACACCAAATGCGTTCGATTCAGAACAAGGATTTCATAAAGCACATTTGATTAGAAATGCAGTAGCAGGTGAAAATTTTGGTGAAGGGAGGAGGTCTCAAATATGTTTTCTGATGACTTACCTTTTGAGAAAGATGTAATTTCAGTTGTTGCAAACGAGCGTACAAGCTTCAGTTAGGTCTTCAACTAGATTCCTATTTCACAAGTGTCCTATAGTCCGCTAGCATCAGCTATGTCGAAAATGTCCTGTGTGGAATCTCATTGCTTCAAGTCTAGTCATGGACACTGAGGTAACTGCATGGTTTGCTGTCATTGTTTTCCTCAGGTGCTGATGCAGGCTGGAAAGAATGCGCGTGGAGTGAAACTCTTGGCCAGTGTTTTTCTCCTTCCTTTATACCACTGGTGTGTCTGGGAGGAAGATGCGGTCGGATTATTCGAGGATCGTCATCGAATTGTTTGGACAGCTGTGTTGTTAATGATCGATGCTCAAGCTGTATGAGTAACTACAACTGTGGCTGGTGTGGCAAGCAGGGGATTACTGGCGAGGGACAGTGTTTTGAGGGAGGAGTACATGGTAAGTCATTAAATTATCTTAGATGATTGACGGAGGTTTAGCAGCGGTCTTGTACTGGAGGAAGGAGCGGTGGTCTAACAGGGATAGCGCAGGACTCTGGCTTGGGCAGCGTGGGTTCGAGCGCCAGCACGTTGTGTCGTGTTCTGGGACAAAACACTTTACTCTCAGTGTCTCTCTTCACCCAGGTGTATCAAAAGGTACTGACGAATGTAATGGAAGGGGGTGGGGGGTAACCTTGTGATGTACTTGCTATCATGCCATTCAGGGAGAAGTAGAAACACTCCTAGTCACTTCATGCTACAGAAGCTGGCAGTTGTTTGCCAGCAGATTCGCCAAGACTTTAAAAGTGAACGTGTAAAAGAAAAAATTGTAGAGATGGGAAGACTGCAGACCCTAATACCCTTTTTCTTTTTCTCAGTCTCGTTTAACCGCAATCTTAGATTCTGTAATACGTTAAATTTTGCGTAGTCTTATAAATACCATTTTTTATAAATGAGTTCTCTGTGCTGATATTCACCGACAGAGCTCACGTGAATGTTTCCTTCTGCTTACTGCGTTGTTCTCCTCTCAAAGGTCCTTTGCTCGAGACTTGTGAAGGGAGGAACGCTACTAATCACGTGTCTCGCGTGTGGGCCTCCACTCTGTGCCCCTTGGAGAACGAGTGCCTAAATGGACGGCACAATTGTGACATGACTACCCAGGTTTGTGAGGACCGGCCAGAATCATTCGAGTGTATTTGTAAACCAGGATACAACGACACAGGACATCCAGGGTAAGTTTGAATCACAGTGTACCCAGAGCAGTGGGTCTTTTTTTCTTTTTGTTATTCAAAATTGCCAATATTGTCACATTTCTTGCATATTTCAGGACTACAATTAATTTAGACAAGCTTAAACTCAAGTCATTGTACTGTCAGTTCATCGGCCGCATTACTATACTTCGTCCAGCTCTGGTCCTCTCACTGTCACGCAACGTCGGGGGAGAGGGTGACGCTGTGTGTCAGACAGAGGACCGGAACTGGACTATAGAATCCTTTGAGCCTCTGAGTTTACAATGTAGTAAATAAATCTTTTGAAATTGTAAGGGCTATGTTATAAGACATACAAGCTGCTGCAGTTTCAACTAATTCAGTTCTGGTTTCTTTTCAGGACCTGTGTTCCGCTCTGTTCGAAAGGTTGCCTCCAGGGACGCTGTGTCCTTCCTGAAGTCTGTGAGTGTTACTTCGGTTGGACGTCTCCTAACTGCTCTGTGAAATGTCAGTGCAACGAACATGGGCAGTGTGCCAACGAGACTCTCCTGGATGTGTGTCACGACTGTCGCAACCACACAGTGGTAGGTGTTTCTCACGTACTTGTTTTTGCTGTTAGTTGCGTCACGTATGCGTCACGCTAAGTGTAACCCAGTAACGGCCCATGAGGGGATACGTGTTTTCGTAACCACACTGTGGTAGGTCGTTGTCACGCGCTGGTTTTCGCGTTAATCTGGCTCGTCACGCAACGCTTCACCCCACAGGAGGTCTTGTGTAACAGCTGCCGAAGACATTATCACGCGCTGCTTTGCACTCTCAATTCGCAGTGTTGCCGGACGCGTGGTGCATTTCGGAAGGGTGTTGCGTGACTCATCCGTTCCGTAACGCTTCCCGTCACGAAAAGCACTGTGGTGACCCAAAAAACGAGCCAAAGATATTAGTTTTTTAGATTTTATGTTACCGGCGACCTTTCGCTCGATAAATAGACTCCAAATTCATCCAAAATGATCCAAAGGACAATCAACAATTACATAGCTGGCAGAATTACAGATTCTTTAATCTCCTCAGTAGGATAGAACCGTAGAACTAGAAAGCAAATACATGACGAAATTCCATGAGAAACTGAACCGTTCGCGAGTACATGTGCAAGCCAAAATACAAGAAAATCTTACGACAATACAATAAATCAGAGCGAAAACGAGTTACAAATACCTTTGTCCAGCGACGAAGGACAATGAACTGGTCTTAAATCTTAAAGGATCCAAGGAAAAAATGATCTATTTTGTCACAAACGAGCAAGATAACTTCGATTGTCTTACATCTGGCGTTAGCAAGCACACGTGTTTTTGCCGAGCGCGCGCTAAGAACCTTGGGAATTTACCCAAGCGTCTTTTCGGCTTAACGTTAGTTACATTTTAATTGTCCTGAGTGTGGAAATCCATAATCCCAACGGTCATTGTTTGATTTATTCAGGGTCAGAGCTGTGAGTTCTGTGAAGCTTTGTATGTTGGAGATGCAAGAAACAACGGTAGCTGCGAGTCGTGTTATGACGTGTGTAGTCACAAAGCTAATGTGTGTATGAACTCGACCCAGCTGGAGTATGGCCGCAATCAGAACTTCTCTTTTGAACCTTCTGAGGTAAATGAATTTACTGCAGCATATGTAGCGTGATCTTTGTCGAGATTATTCCGTCCTATAGCATGCATACCCAGAGATCAACCGGCTGGCGACCACTTGAAAGACGCTGTTTGGGAGAAAATTGACTGAACAAAACGTTAATAGAAAACACTAGGTCTATGCTCTCTTTCTTTCTCTTTTGCTCTCTTATAGTATATAGATCCTGTAAAAGACCCGGCAAAATGTCATAATTTTTATAAATTTACTCGAAAAATGCAACGTGAAAATGCGTTCTTGTGACGGCCACACCGAAACCGTAACGTTGTGATCGAAACTAACCAATAAAAAAGTTACAGAATTCTCCAAAGTATGCAGAAACTTTGTTTTCTTGTAAGTGTGCTGTAAGCAAATTTCTTTCGACGCTTCAACGTTATAGGTCCGTTTGAGAAAAGGCTCCTCACCTTTCGTTGTTTTAACATTTTTCATTGGTTGATTTCTTTCCTTATGATTCGCTACAAGTTGTCCGTTGTGGCACTGTAGAATGACCTCTGAATGACAATCGAATTGCACCCTTCCACCGCCTTTTGTTCCTACCTAACCTAATGACACCACTGACACCACTGACAAGACACTGTAAAGGTGCTAGAAATAGTTTGACTGTAACCGAACTTCCTCTAATACAGGTCAAGCTCTGGCTGCAGCATGGTCCATACAAGATTGAGCGTGAAGGGGAGTGTTTGTGTAAAAACAACAGCAAAGGGCCCAAGTGTGGCTCCTGTGTTTCAGGCTTTTTCAACCTTGCCGACTCCTGCACTAGGTTTGTGATATGCTTCAAAGGGAGTCACTCTCTCTAACACTTAATTTGTTTTAAATTTTAGCTTAGTTCCTTTAGCCCTGGTGGGGGATAGGACCAGAAATGAGTTGCCTCCACTTGTCCCTGTTCTTGGCCACAGCTACAACTGCGGTCCATGATATCAATCCCGTCTCAGCGCGTTCTCTTTCCACTGTTAACCTCCATGTTTGCCTTGGCCGTCCTCGTTTCCTTTCCAAGTTCTTTAACCAAAGGTTTATGTCGCCAGTCTCTGACCAAACAGTGGTTCACCTGTACCACGTGAAGAAAATAATGTCCTCTGGTGCATTGAAGCGCAGAGACCTCACACGGTGGTTTTTTACCGACTATGTCAGAACAGACTTAATATCTCAGAGTCACTTAGCTTGTAGTTGGAAACCTTTGCAGCATACGACGGTGGAATCCCTATTTTCTTGAACCCTCGATTTTTTTAACCTTCCGATAACTCGATCCAAAACCCGTTTTCCTCCCGTCAGAGTCCCCTCAGTCTATCACTGTAATTTTACCCCCGATTTTTCAAACGTTTACTACCCAATTTCTCAAACCGAGTTATTGGGATTCCGCTTCATTAGGTAGGACTAATGACAAAACCACGTACTTGTGAAGGTCCGAACAACACTAAATACCCATGAAAACAATTGTTAGTTACCAATACTAGTATTTATCTTTTACTTTCACCAATCCTTTGATTTTATTGCTTCATTTTCTTTTTTGCTTTAGATGTTTGTGTAACGGACACGCAGATTCATGTGATGAGAAGGGGATTTGTCAATGTCTTAACAACACCATGGAAGATTGCCCAAGTACATCAGACTGCTACAGAAATCAGGTACAACTAAAATATCTTTATGTGTAGGTAGCTCCTATCGGCTATCGGTGTTATGTGGTACAAATTTCCTTAAGAGTTAATTGCATTTATTGAAGCTAATAGAATAACTATTGATATTACACAGTGCATTAAATGCAAAGAAAATTTTATGGGAAAGCCAGCCGACAATCGACAATGCTACAGAAAGATCAGCGTCGTGCAAGAGTTCGTAATCGGCAGTCATACCGCGGATACTGAAGATAAACAAGTCAGCCCTCTGCCACATGGCCGCGCCATCTTCTATGCTATCTACCCAAGATTTACCAATGTCGACATCCGCATGACGATTGATCTGTTCGCGGGCGCAGTGGATGTGTACGTGGCCAATGAAAACGACCAGTTCACTGTGATATTTAACGAAACCACTGCTCAACATCAAGTCAATGTTAAATCTTTAGCTAGTGCCTCAAGGTGAGTGTTAATAGTTTCAGCTAAACCATAGTTAATAGAGGGAAACGGTTATAAAGCCCGGCCAGCAGCTATTCAAGACAACGAAGACATCAGGTGACGATTAATCTGCATGAACCTCACGACAGATTTAGGTTAGGTTCGTCTGTGATCGAGTCTGAAGGTCCGTTAGGTCGGCGCACATCTCCTATTACTGTGCATACCAGGGGTATTTCTACTCCCCCCCCCCCCCTACAGGGGATGCTAGTTCATTGCAGGGTTACCCCCAGCATTAAGTTATTGTCTAGTACCCATTTATATACGCTGGAGTGGAGAGAAGCACTACACTGTCACTGCATGAAATTCAGCTGGCTTGAATTCGTGCGTCATGAAGCAGGGACAAAATGAACTCAATTTCTATGCCGCACAGTGTGCACTGCTCTTGCAAACTGTCCCTGCAAGATGCGTCCTATGCGTATAAACGAAGAGGCTTGTTGTCGTTTCATGTTCCCTCAACATGTCCCCTAGTGTGTGCCGATCTCTAAGCAACTATTGACAGCTGTGTCTTTTACGTCTTCCACCCTTAGAAGAAAACGGCGAGACGCAGAAGACGACAGCAACAACAGCGACAATATGGTGGACGAAGTGACAGCATCAAAAGTCAAACTCAACACTTTCGTCTCGTACAATGAATATCACAGGGCGCTTATTGTTCGAGATGTTCGGAAACGACTTATTCTAACATTTCCTTACGGAGAGCACCAACTCCGAGACACAAGATTCTACTTAGTGTTTATTGGTCGGGACACGTCTGGGAGTAGAGGCTTGGTGTATTTCAGACAGGACCTGTCTCAAATCGATCTGTTTGTGTTCTTCTCTGTCTTCTTCTCCGCGTTCTTCCTCGTGGTGTCGGTGAGTGTGTTCGGCTGGAAAATCAAACAGTATCACACCCGCAGAAGAGTCATTGAAGTTCGAGAACATCAACTGGAAACCATGAGGAGTAGGCCATTTGCCACGTACTCGTTCCTTTGTCAGATGAAAAGGCCTCAGCCGAGCTGCTGGCGCGTTAAGCGTGACACCGCGGCTGTCCTCTTGCGTGACTCCTCGTTGGCTAAAGACCACCATCTTCGACTTAGGGACGTAGGACAGCGACCTGTCATAGCCCCTGTGAGTCAAGAGCCTACTGCAGACGGACGCGCGTGCGTCACCACGGTAGTCTTTCAACTTCCGGGGAACGAGTGTTCAGATTTTCAGCTTTTGCTGGGCTCTGCATTAACTGTCGTCAATCATCAACGCCCGCTTGGTGGTGGTGATCATCACGCGCAGCATGGACGTAAATTGGTCCCAAGACGGACGGTCACGTTTACCAGTTAATAAGGAATATACAAACTTGTAAATAGTTCAACACAGCTGCCTCATCCGCAGTCTTTATTTGGTGCGTCGCACAACACTTCGATATAAAGCGTTGCGTGACGACCTAAATGCAACGGCTGTGTGAGAAACTTCTGTCACGCACTTTCCGAAGTACTTTCAATTCACGTACGTTAAGACTTGGCCTCGGAGCCTTTGTTAGACTAGTCAAAACTGTTTTAAATTTCGATAGATTTCCGGTTCAAGAGAGCCAAATAGTCAAATAGCAGCAAATATAGAAATTAGAGATAGTGTTTTAAAACGTTTTTTTACGTCCATTTTATATCGTTTGTCGGAACGAAAACCAAGTGGCTCCGGCGTTAAAAATAATTCTTTTTACCGAAATGAGTTTTCAAGTTTGCAAGACAGAAGGAGATAACCTCGCAATATTTTCGAGTTTGTTTCTTTGTCACCTCGGTAAACCTAGCTATAAATGTGGTGAAATCATAATGAATAGTACATTGGTGGAAAACGCCATTTTGAAAATTGTAATTTTCTAATTTCTAATTTTCCTAACGTCATATGTTCCCAGAGGTTCTCGTTCATTGTTAAAACAGCTAAAAGTTTTGCGGGCCAACCTCCATGTCAACCAGCAAAAAATGTACGTACCCTTGTACATTGTACAAAAAATGTACATACCCTTGACTGTTTACCTGTGGGACTAAATTTATACTCAACTTTTCGACTTAACTCTCGTCCGACATAGTGAGGACCATCCCCCTAATTTGTAAGAAGTAATATTTTTTTAATTAAACAATAATGAAGGAGGATTGGTAATAGATTTGTAGGTAAAGTGTATCCTGTCACGCGGTCAAAGTTAGCAAATTGCAGTAATTTGTAAACTGCGTGAAGTAGTCGCTCAGTTTCATGTTCACAACTTCCTTCGTTCCCAGGTTCTCTCGTCTTCTTGTTCCAGGCGGGGTGAGAGAATGGAAGAACCTGGGAAAACGGCAGTTTCCTAGGGTGCCCCGTCTTCTTGTTCTAGGGGGCGAGAGGAAGGCGGAACCTGTGAACAAGGTTCTTTCACTCTGTAAGTCACCTCGTAAACAGTTATATAAAGCTTACGCGACATTGGCGAAAGGTAGAACCTCGCAATCAACTCTGCAGTAAGGAAGTGTAATATATTTGGCATTGTGAATGAAAGTGAAACGATGTGAACTTCGATCACAGCAATGGTGCATTAGCAATGCTCGTAATACATTTCGGCATTGTGGCGGCGCGCTTTTACGCCGTTGCTGAACAATCTTGCTCGGCACGACAATACAAGTTCGTGAACAGTTTTTGAGATCGATTTCAATCGATTTAATTGCAGCGGTCTGAGGAGATGATGTAGATGAGTAAATCGAAAAAGCCGAATGTTCCTGAAAGGAATTATCCATTTTTGCACACTTACGTGACCTGTCAAAAGTATTTTCTACATTTCTTCTACCTTTCGTGGTATCACCGATGGTGTCAGTGTTATCATGACAGACGGCGCAGAGGAGTAGAATTTAGCTTGCTTTCCAAAAGAAACCTGTGTTTCAAGGAAACTTGGAGGTAAACGTGGTGTTCGTGTCCTCGGTTCTTCGCGTCTGACTCTTCTTGTACTCGGTTCATGGTGTCTACACTTCGTGTGCTCAGTTCCTCGTGTCTCTGACTCTTTGTGTGCTCGGTTCATCGTGTGCCTGCTCTTCGTGTAATCGGTTCATCGCGTCTCTCTATGTTCCGCTTTGTTTCCCCTGGAGTCGCAAAATATAAAGGTCAACCCGCGATATGTGAAATATTGCTTAACTCCCAGTTTTGAATGAAATACCACGTGTGCCTCTAACTTGCGATTTTCTCCCTCCTCCTGCTGTTAAAAAAGAACGCCTGATCGCAGATTAGTGCTGTTCGGCCTCTCTACGCGAACAGAATCCGCTTCACAGGATTTTTTATTTGCAGATCTTCCTGGATCTCTCAAGTGGGTAGTGATCTTAAAAAAACGTAAGTGGGATTACCTTGGGAATAAGACTAATATGGGAGATTAACTCTCTTAACCTTACTCAGGCGCTCTTGGGCTGTAGGCTCGTCACGTAATCTTCCTCCCCTTCGTGAGGGATTAAGATTGCGTGACGAGCCCAAGAGCCTCTGTGCAGGAGGCTATCTTTTGGCACGTGGTGTGGTTGAGAAAGGATACAGCTTTATTAGATGGGTCTGCCTTGACCACTGCGCTCTTCATTGCTTACTTTCGAAAATCTTCGTGTAGCCGTACCCTCCCCCCGACGAAAAACGGGAACGTCCCGTTTTTCCTCTGGGGATGGGTACAGCTACACATAGGCTGCGGAAATCTGTGTTCAAACTGAAAAGTATTGTTGTTTTCTTTATTTGTTTGTTTTCGATTTTGACACCAATCAAAATTCATTATTTGGGGAAAGAGACATCTGGAGGAGACATCACTGTTTAAAAATGAAATCCAGAAAAGTTGGCATGACACAAATTATTGTCACGTGCTAAGTAGAGTCGGTACCCAATGAAACAAACATGCTGTTATTAATTTCGCTGTCAACACCTCCAATCTAGTAACTTCTAGTCTTCGCATCACATTTCTGGATAGGCAATGAATTTTGAGGTCATGTCTATTTACGCCTAACATGACCCTGAAATGACCATCGAGCAGCATTCCATCTAATTAGATTCTCGACTGTCATGCCACAAAGAGTGAACTGGATCGTTCAATTGTTTTGAAAACGGTTCTCGCCACAGAAGACGCCACACCGCTTTTACACAGCTGAAATGGAAAATCGAAAACGTTCGGTCACGGTGGCCATCGACTTCGGTACCACGTATTCTGGGTTTGGTTTCGCTGAAGCAAACGTTTTGGGCGAGTCTGGGATCCAGGTTTTTCGTGGCTGGGGACGCGGACAAGGTTTTAGCTTCTACAAAACCCCAACGTGCGTTCTCCTCTCGCCCGATGGAAATTTTAATAAGTTCGGTCACGCGGCTGTCGAGGCTTATGCCAAGCATCTCGCCAAAGGCGACAACAAGGATTTCATTTATTTCGAGAGATTTAAGCTAGTGCTCTACAACACAAAGGTAAGTACTTTGTTTATGCTTTTTTCTTCTAAATTGCAGTCCCCTTTTGTTCCAGTTTTCGCTCGAGTTTTCTAAATCCCACCTTTTCCTGCTTTAGTGCTAGAAAATTCTTGCTCTTGAAATAGTTTTTTTTTGTGCGGATAATTTGCTTTCGCGTGAAAATAGGCCAATGATTCACTACAAAAGATTTTCAGTCGAAGGGACGCGCGCCCAGATTTTATTGCAAGATTGTGTGAACTTGAGACTGAATAAAAGGGCATGCTGATGTTTTGTCTTGGTGATTGTCTCTGATAATCAAAATAATACTTACCGAAAGAAAAGCACTTAGAATGAGACATTGAGATTAATTTTCTACCCGCTGATTCTCTGGGAAAGCGCGCCATATTTTCGACTGTTGTTTTCAGAGGTTTTCGGAAACGTGAAACAAGGGGAGAAAAAAAGACAACATGACTTTTTACACGCCCGTTTCCACACTCTCTCCTGAGCAGATTTCCCGTCTAGTCACATCAGATTACTTACACCGGAAAGTGATCGTTGTCGTGAAGGTTCACGAAAAAAAATAATAAAGCTTGTCCCGTTATTAATAGACTTGGTGCTGTAAATAGGCCTTACCTCTTTTTATGCACCAAGCACAAGATTCCTTCCTCTGTTTGTTGGACCGGGTTAATAGCAAAGATATCAGTGTCGTCACCTATTGTTATTAATATGCTAACCAGAGAACTATTGGCTGGTAAAACAAAGAATTCTTTTGTTTAACGTTTTGAACATTTAAATAACAAAAACAATGTTTGTAAACAAATTTCTCCCCTATTGCATGTCACTCCCAAGACCTCATGTGGTTTATTACGCTCTTAATTGTTGTTACCGCGTGTATTAAATTCTTTTGTGAGTATTTTAAAAATAAGCCCTATTGACCTCGTTTTTAAGTTCATTATTTAAAACAATTTTTACTCTCAAACGAGGTTAGAAGGCCTATTTAAAACAAAAAAAATTAAACAAAAGAATTTTAAATTGACAGCCATCCAGCAAGCGTTCCCGTTCGCGTTTTTTCCGCATTCTGGCCCAGTGCAAACTAGAACGAGAGCAAAAAAAACTCGCTTTCCCACCCCCTGTTCGCCCATTTTCTTTTTTTTTTTTTCCTCCAATTTGCGGGAGTCCTGCAGATGCCTTCAAAGCTTTTCGTACCTGGGGCCCGTTTCTCGAAAGTCCCGGAAACTTTGCGGGCGCGCAAAGCCATTTTTAGTCAATCTGCATGTACAAACAGAGAGGTCTATACGCCTGAAACTTCTTGTGTGAAGAGAACCTCTGTTCATATTAAGAGTATGTGAATGAAACAGCTCTGTAATCATAAGGTTTGAGATTTTGCAACGGTTTTCCGGGTGCGAAAACATTTCGGGACCTTCGAGAAACGGGCCCCCTGGAACTCTAAAACGGCTTGCTATGCAGGCCAGTAATACAATTTCTCTCGGGATTTTTTCCAGTTACTCTAGTAATAAAACTAACAAAACTAAATCCAAAATTCGCCTTAGCAGTGTCAGGTAGCAAATTAAATCACCTTGCGAGTGAAGTAAGAATAAGACTTGCGACGATAATTTCACATCTTTGTTCGACAAAAGCAATGGTCGCATTTTATCGTAATTTTGGGAGACTTGAAGTGTTTGTAGCCCCTCGCAGAGTATAGGGAACTAGGCAAACTAAAAAAAGGTTGTTAACCATTTTTCGGGAGGGACCGATTGGGAGGACCTTTAAATAATAACACTATGTACTGAAAAACACTGAATTCTATATTTTTAGGACCTTTCCAAGGACACTAGTATGATGGCGTCAAACGGCGCCGTAGTGAAGGCACTGGACTTGTTCTCGGTTTGTTTAGCGTATCTTGGTGATAAGGCAATGGAGTGCATAAATGCCAGTGGTCAGCGGGCAAAGACCTACGAGTCACGTGATGTGCAGTGGGTGGTGACAGTTCCCGCCATTTGGGAGCCGACCGCCAAAGAATTTATGAGAGAGGCAGCCTACAAGGTGAGAAAAAAAGCCTTTGTTTAAATTTACTTACTTTTTATTTTAATCTCTTATACGGTTCACCTCAGACATAACACAAGTCAAGCTTATCCTGCTTTGAACAGGTGCTCCCAGATAAATAGACTGGCGTGATAACAGCTCATTTGGAGTCACGTAAGTCAGTCACGTGAATGTCTTTCTTCCCACAGGCAGGACTGGCGTCACCTGATGACCCGGATCAACTGCTAATCGCTCTTGAACCCGAGGCAGCTTCGTTTTACTGCAGAACGTTACAAATGAAGGATTTTCTAGGGGAGACTGGCGACGAATCAGTGAACGAAGGCCTTGCTTCGTACGTCGTCATTGACAACGGAGGTTAGAGCTTCTCTTAGTTCGGTAACTAAAATATGAGATTATTTGTGCTTTGATAGTGCGTGAAAGTGTTTCGTCTTCGACTAACTATAGATTCAATCAACCGTATTTTATTCCCTGCACGGCCATAAGTGCGAATTGGAAAAGCATGAACACTGTAGAGCGTTTCCACTCACAATGACGAGAAGCCATGAAAACAAAATAAAGTGTTTTCATAAGAAAATAGTTGAACTCCCACAGGATTGTTTTGGGACACCAATATGGCTGCCCTGGCTTCATATGAAAACAATAAAAATAATCATTTGTGGAATGTTATTGTGTCATGACGGAAAACCGATCAGATGTGAGGTGAACAAACTGCAAACCTTAATGGTAATTAAGTATACGGTAAATTGGTGTTGACAAATTACAAGCCTCTTCCGGGCGTTCAGTGAGTATAAGCTGGGGCGCAGCGCGCGAAGAACGCGTACGAAAAATTGGCGAGAAGCGCGGCGCATCAAGCCTTAGCTTTCTTTCCGTTTTTCGCTCCAACGTTTTTCGCGCTGCGCTCAGACTAACTGAACGTCTGGAAGAACGGCGCAAGCACCAAATGTTTCAGGTAAAACACAATTTTCTTTGACGTTTCAGGGGGCACCTTGGACATAACAGTACACGAGATTCAGGAGGACGGTACAATCCGCGAAATTCACTGTCCAGCGGGTGGCCAACTGGGTGGCATGCACGTGGACAGGGAATTCCAACGCATGCTCATGGCGGTGTTCGGCGAGGACTTCATCAACAAGTTCAGACGGGATTTCCCCAACGACTGGCAGAAAATCATGAACGACTTTGAAATTCAGAAACGAGCTGAGGAGGGCGTCGATAACGACGAAGTCAGCATCGTCTTGCCGTTTAACTTCGTGAATGCCTATTCGCGCATCATAGGAAGCGACGACGATATTAACGAACGGCTGAAGACTAACTACAAAAATAACCAAGTAAACGTCAGTGATGGCTACTTGAACCTCAGTCTCGAGGTCATCAGCGGCTTTTTCGAACCAGTCGTTCAAAAAACTGTAGACGTCATCAGGTCTCTCTTTGAGCAAATGGAGCACGCGAATGTAAACACGATGTTTCTGGTCGGCGGCTTCTCGCAGGCGCTGCCCCTGAGGAAAGCTATAACCCAGGCCTTCCCGGACAAGAGAGTTCTTACCCCGCGCGATGCAGAGCTCGCCATCATCAAAGGCGCGGTAATGTTCGCGCAAGCACCGGACCTGCTAACAACGCGAGTCATGGCCAAAACATACGGAATCGACATCAATGAAGCTTTCGACTCCAACAAACATCCCGAAGAGAAGAAGACCGACATTTGCGGGGTCAGCTACTGTGAAGATGTGTTTGATGTTCTTGTGAAGGAAGACGAGCAGGTTCAAGTTGGAGAAAAGAGATCATTTTTCTTCTCGCCCGTTCATCCCGAGCAGACAACAGCTTCGTTGCGTTTCTTCAGCACGCACAACAAGAACGTGCAGTTCGTCACAGATCCTGGTGTCATGGCTGAAAATGTGGCCTTCCAGATCGTCAGCCCTGATGTCTCCAAAGGGTTACGCCGGAACATAGAACTGAACGTTTACTTCGGCGGAACTGAGATTAAAGTTACAGCTACTGACGTCACTTCCGGTAGTTCTGCCAAGGCCGCGCTGAGATTGGTGACGAAGAACTTAACATGACGTCACAGAACAACAAAAGGAAACGTTCCATTACGTTTAATCAAACAGTAGCGTTTTTTTAGAACTTGCAGTCTTCGTTATATTTTTAATTATAAATTATAAAATACTGACAAGTAACCCTAGCGACCTTCTGTACGAAAATGACAAAAATATATCAGGTTCGGTCCCTTCACGGAGATGATAAAAAAAATAGTTTCATAGACTGATCCCGATTTTCGTCAAAACCTTTCATGTTAGCTACTACAGCTAGGAAACCCCGTGAAGCATTATACGTTTTTGGAACTAACTCACACTATTTAAGGAGAATTTGTGTCATTTAAAGGTTAAATTTGGAAACGCCAATTAAAATTTAAAAACGTTGGAAGAGAGAATTGAAGTTGTAGGTTGCAGGTTGCAGGTTGCAGGTTGCAGGTTGCCATATCAAGGAAGATGGACTAGCAAGATTAAAACTGGGTAACAGAAGTTGAAACAGTGTGAGCCAGATGTAACGAAAACTCTCAACCTCGTTGCCCGAGTCTCTCTTCTTTCCCAACCCACCCACCCTCCCCCCCCCGACCTCACCTGGAGCGAGAGGGAGAGACCCTGGAAAAGAGCTCTTAAAACTGCTTGATAAAGAGGCCCCTAGGATAACGAACACATCCCCAGTCCCTTGACACTTCGTTACATTAGTGTTTCAATGTATGAAGTATCACTGTCTAATCAAAATTTCCCTGTCATTCGAAGTTTGAAGCCTATACACAAGGATCTCCTCGATTATCGTGAGCTTAGCCCCTTAAAGGAGCTCTGTCACGGTTTGCACATTTTGAAAAGTTTAGCCTGAATTTTTCAAATTCGTCGTTTGCAATCCGTGTCAATCTTCGCCATCCTTAGCCATCCTTGTTCCTTTATTGTTTATTACTATCTCTTTGATGTTTTTCTATCTTAGTAAACTATTATTTTCAGGTTTCCTTCCATTTAAAGGAGATTTTGTTCGTAGCCAAAAACAGAAGGCAAAACACCGTGACTGGGCCCCTTTAAGAACATGTCATTAAAGACGCCAGTTATGGTCAGTTAATCCAATCCCAGAATGCACAGTGTCATTTTACTCCTGACACTCCTCAAACGCGTATAAATTTAGGATTGACAAATATTTCGCGTGATTTTCGTTCGTCCAGCGTTCGACAAGCATTGTTCATGATCAGCATAGGCTGATCTCTGCCAAAGAGTTAAAAAAAATGCCCAAATAGGTTCCCATGGTGATGTTTCCCTTCTTTGTGACTTTCCCTCACATCGCTGGCGCATTTGCTGAAGTGAACTGGTAACCAGTAGTAGCTGAAGATCTGAAGTCGGTCACGTGCCCACGGTAGAGTCGGAGCTAGAGGCCTGGGTCTTACTTGTGACTGGTCGTCTTGTGAAAACTTTGTTCGTTAACCAGATAACAATGGAGAATAGCTTCACTGGGACTTGACTACAAAAAAGAGAAGGCGACAGGTAACTCTTCTAAATAGATAGAGGTTCGTTAGTCAAACTGTTTAGTTCGTAGTTCTATAGCTCTGCGAGCAGCGTTATATAGACTTAACTTGGCAAAACAACTTGAAATGACAAAATATTCCAAAAATGCGCAAGATCACGCCCGTTTACGGAACTCCATACACGCGACATTCAAACAAATTTTTCCTTGATCCCAAATTTGGTTTGTAATCGTACTAATTCACATTTCCGCACGGTAATTTGTGTAGGTTTATAGCAGAGCTTCTGCAGAAATGCAAGAGTTTCACAAAAGTTTAGTCTTCCACGCGCAAAACTAAAATGCAAATAAGATGGTACAGAAGGTAGGAGCCAACATGACAACATGTTTCCATCTCCTACACTCTTGCGAACGTGATCCCAGGTGATGGCATTGGTGTGTTTCCATATAATCGCGGGTTTTTTGACGCGATCATATGACACAAGGATTTATTAGGCCTAGTTCACACTAGCGACGCAACGACATAGTAAGCTTAACATCGACATGAAAGCATAAGGAAAAGATCAGGGTGTTTCCTAATGTCGTTATGCTCATGCTGTTATGGTACTATTATGTCATTATGTCAGGATGTTCACACTGCAAACATAACAACATAACGTCCTTCTTTTGTCGCCATGTTTTTTTTGTTATGTCCTCATGTCCCCAGTGTGAACTAGGCCTAACATACTTTCAGCACACTAGCAAATAATACGAGAGACTGTGTTTCATCGGGATTTTCAAACACCGAAAAGAGCGTTGAAAAAACGACGCGCCGCGGAGTATTTTTGACGAAATTCGAGGTTTTTGGATAGCCGATGAAACACTGTCTCGGGTGTTTGATATATCTTCTCAATCGAAACAAAATCTAAGGAGAAAACGGATAAGTAAAATCGTCAAAATTTGAGCTAATTAAGACCGGATATCCAAAGCTCCTTCTCACGGCTGCGATTTTCTTTATTTTGATGCATTATTACTGAGTTTGAGAAGCTCGAGTAGTAGTCAAGCTAAGTAGACACTGAACAACACGCGGCCGAGCTGAGTATCGCTGAGCGAGAAGTGTACATTTCGCAGTCATCAAGATCTATTCAGTGTGTCTGTCACTATAAAAACTTGCCCTGGTTGAATATGCTACAAATGCTCTAAGTTACAAATAGAAATACGAAAAGTTGACCGTAATGGTAAACCACAGGGAGCACACGATCTCGTTGAGTAGGAAGAGAGTTATAAAGGAATGAAAAGAATATACAATTTACCTTTGTCTACTGTTGTCATTAGAACCTCACTAAACAGAAGGTTTAATGAGCAAAACAATAGCTGTGCACGTGCGTTATAAATCTTTGTACATTTCTTTGCCGTCCTCTGTAAAACAAGGTGAAAAGACCAAGTTGTGCGTAGTCTGATGAACGCGAACGACGACCGCTAGTTTTTCGTATTTCCATTTGGAATTGAACGCTNATTCAGACGAGTGTAGCCTGGGCTAAAATTCACGCAAATTGAAAAGGGGGTGGGGGGGGGGGGGGGGGGGGAAGGGAAATGGGTGAACATGAGTAAATTTCACATGCCTAACAATGTTTGTCTGAAATTACAGGGTGGTGAGATAATATCATCTCATCTCTATTTCCTGGCATCAACAAGATGAAGTTTACATTCTATTATTAACAACCAGCATATTTGCATGATGTCGTCATGCTGCGGTCTGACTGTCTAATTGATAGTTTTAATACAAGAAATGGAAAGGAACACACATCAATGAATATATGTTTCAATCCAATAGTGTTACGGTTTATGTACAAGTTGTTGTATAAAACATACCCAAAATATCCCTCCATTTAGAAGACAGCATTGCAGCATTTTGCTGTAAATTTCTTTCATGCCTACAGAACTAAGCAAATTGAAAGTGCCCAAATAAAGTGTGAAACCACAAATGCCACAAGTTGAACAACATTGCTGTGCATTTATATAGGCACAAAAATATGACAAGAAATTAAATAACAAAGGATGTTACGATGGCCTGATGTAAAACGTAAAAAAATGTAACCTCTTGTAAGCATCGTTTTCTCAGTATAATAAATAAACGAATGCTGTGTATTCATGAGACGCAAGTAATGCAGACCTTGCTACCTCTTTGGCATACAAATATAGCAAATACTTATAGTTTAAAAATATCCTGCCTTTTCAGGAAATAAGCTTATAAGCTTCAGCATACCTTCAAAATGTTTGGGGATTCTGCAGTCGATTCTGCCCCTCCATCACTTCTTTTCAACAACAAAAACTCAACATAGAGTGAATGAGTTCCGTTCATTTTAAACCTTATTTAGACGGCTGTTCGTAGTGCAAAGAACACCTTACCTGTCAGCTTTCTTCTCTGGCGCATTTAAACTTGTCCTAGCTCTGTGTCTTGTTCGTCGAAAGGACGACTGGCTGTCAGCTTTTAATTTATTTTCCGTGTGATTTTCACCCTGGATACTACTTATTCTAAGTAGTGCAGTCATGCCCAATAAAGAATCTTTCAATCCATGCCCAATACCAAGAATTATTGACCTTAATTCACTCATATTTCCAAACGATACTCGTAGAATTGCTTTGTTGTTATTTTTTTTTTCGTGAAACTTCTTCCCAGTTCTCCCTCGTTAGACTAGGTAACCTCGCATAAACGTAAGCCTACAAAGGACTTCCGGGACCCAGCCGGAAGTTCTCGAAAAAAAATTTAACTCTTCCCATCTTTCACATTTTGTGACAGCTAGACCAACGCCGAAACGAAGGTTAATGTAAAAATCCCTCAATTTTCAAGGAACAGGAGTGCGTGCATAAGATGTTCAATGTGTTGCCATAGCAAAGCTAAAAACAGTGACAAATACTTGGTGAACTGTTCCCATTATAATACATTTTTGATAAATTCAGAAAGTAACACTTTTCCTATTTAAACAACTATGGCGTCGGGAAGTTTTGAATAGACAGCGAGCGACAAGGTCCAGAAGTCTTTTCGATACCTGGTATCAATCAACAACACTTCATTTAAACACGTTGCGCCTAAGAGCTAAGTTTGCTCATTTTCTCTTGGTTTGCTCGATTAATATACGAGCGTTTATGCAACTAAAAAACATAAGAGAGTAACTTTTTTAAGGAAAGACTAATACTTCCTATTTCAGCTTTTATCTTTTCAGTTCTGCCTTCAAAGACTCTTCATTTTCCCAAGTATTTCAAGCATGCGCAGATGAAAAGTTCACTTAGTATTAAAGCTGTTTACAAGTTGAGTATCCTCTCGACTAACTAAAGGTAATTCCTCAAATTTGCATCGCGCATCCTTACTGCGCATAATGGCGTCATTAGCGCGCGCTCGTCCACGCGCATATTGAAAACAGCTCACCAACGAGCACGGGCACCCCAATTTTTTTTCCAGTCATTGTAATCAACTAATCATAATTAAGCTTTGCGTGAGAAAAGACTGATCTAATTTCTATTGTTGAAAATTGAATAAATAAGAAAAATAGCAGATACACTGTGGTCTTTTCTATTTTGCAGTTTGGTAACCATGTCAAGAAATTTGGTTCAAATTTTAATCCAGGATTTAGCTTTCTGTCTGAATCAAATTTAAAATGTTTATTTGTGTCCGACACAATGTAGTGACTGTAGTTTAATGCGTGTTCTTATGAGTCTGGGCTCGCAAAGATTTTACAATTACTGGGAATGTGTTCTTATAATAAGCATTAAATAATGCCAAAATGGGGCATTTTCAATGCCTCTCTGCTCCTTAATGAGCATGGGCACCCCCCTTTTTTATTTCAAAATTGAAGTTGTCATATGACAAATATTCAAAGGGCAAAGTTTGAACAAAAATCTATTGTCACTTTTATTTCAGGGGAATTACCTTAAACCATGTAATTCAGAATTCGTTTGCGGAGTTTTCCGTTCTCAACAGGTGAAGGAAATGGTTTGCTAGTAGTAATAGTTATCTTTGCAGTAGTCTTTGACTTCTCATCGTTTTACTTTTCAAGTTTGGCTGATTAGATCTCCTGTGAGATCCTACGTTCAATCAAGCATTTATGAATTAAATGAAGTATCGAGGGAAATATTCCTGATTCTCTATCAAGTCACAAATATTGTTGTTTCTTTTTTTTTTTTTATCAAGTCACACTATTGTGACATAGAAAGAGTCGCTAGTAATAATCTTGCATTATTTGTGACACTTGTTTAGGGTTGTCTTCTATCAAATTTGTGGTCAAACCCTCATTTTCACTTGAGGGCGTTGTCACGTTTGTGATCAATTATTACATTTGTCATATCTACAAGTATTTCTTTGGGAAAGGATCTTCCGAGAATGAAGCAGTGAAGCTAAAAACAACCTAAATTGCCATAAATCAGCCTAGAAACCTCACGGGAACTAAGTTCCGGTTCATACGTCGCATTTCTGCCGTGTCGAATTCAATTCAACGAATTAAATTCGACAGAAATTCGACGTCTGAATCGGCTGCCGCATTTCTGCTG